TGTGTAGGTTTACTAGTTACTAAGGAAAAAATAAAATGTAATTGTTCAATAATGTGTAATGTGTAATTGTTCAATAATTCAATGTGTTGTGTTTAAAAATATAAATATCTGATCATATAAAATGTGTTGTGTTTATATTACTTTTACAAATAAAAATATGTGATAATAAACAAACAAATCTAAACTAACAAATGTCAAATCATATTTGTCGCCGAGACGCCAGTCAATTTGAGCAACGTTATTGTGTATTCTACGTAATGATGCAGTTTTACATTATTACATAATGACGTCATCACGCAATGACATCACAACGTCATTTAGCAACTTTTAGCAACAAATCGACCTGCCTCTAGCAATTTCCCCTGAAAATGAGTTGGCAACACTGGTGGCCTCTCCTTCTCTGTGGCCGACGTGAGTAAGACATTTAAGCATGTTAACCCCCACAAGGCTGCCAGCCCAGACTGTAAGAGGTGATTTGAAGGAGTCAGGCGCAGGAGGGTAAATCACAGAATACAGAGTTTATTCCATAGTACAAAGTTACGCTGGATAGCGTCAAACAGTCCAGTGCGCAAAACAGCCGCACTGGAACAAAACAGGCACACAGGCAAAATATAACCCGGCAATACAAAGTACACGTAGCTCAACCAAGCTACTCTCTCCTCACATTCAACAATCACCCACAAGGACAAGGGGGACAGAGGGAACACTTATACATGTACTAATGAGGGGAATATGAACCAGGTGTGTGTAATAGACAAGACAAAACAAATGGAATGATGAGATATGGAGCGGCAGTGGCTAGAAGGCCGGTGACGACGAACACCGAAGCCTGCCCGAACAAGGAGAGGAGGCAGCTTCGGAGGAAGTTGTGACACAGACGGCATCCCTAGCTGCGTCCTCAGAGCATGCACAGACCAGCTGGCTGGTGTGTTTACGGACATATTCAGTCTCTCCCTTTCCCAGTCTGCTGTCTCCACATGCTTCAAGATGGCCACCATTGTTCCTGTACCCAAGAAAGCAAAGGTAACTGAACTAAATGACTACCGCCCCGTAGCACTCACCTCTATCATGAAGTGCTTTGAGAGACTAGTCAAGGATCATATCACCTCTACCTTACCTGTCACCCTAGACCCGCTTCAATTTGCTTACCGCCCCAATAGATCCACAGACGATGCAATCGCCATCACACTGCACACTGCCCTATCCCATCTGGACAAGAGGAATACCTACTGTATGTAAGAATGCTGTTCATTGACTATAGCTCAGCATTCAACACCATAGTACCCTCCAAGCTCATCATTAAGCTTGAGGCCCTAGGTCTGAACCCCGCCCTGTGCAACTGGGTCCTGTACTTCCTGCGGGCCGCCTCCAGGTGGTGAAGGTAGGAAACAACATCTCCACTTCGCTGATCCTCAACACTGGGGCCCCACAAGGGTGAGTGCTCAGCCCCATCCTGTACTCCCTGTTCACCCATGCACGCCTCCAACTCAATCATCAAGTTTGCAGACGACACAACAGTAATAGGCTTGATTACCAACAATGACGAGACCGCCTACAGGGAGGAGGTGAGGGCGCTGGGAGTGTGGTGCCAGGAAAATAACCTCTCACTCAACTCAACAAAACAAAGGAGATGATTGTGGACTTCAGGAAACAGCAGAGGGTGCACCCCCCCATCCACATCGACGGGACCGCAGTGGAGAAGGTGGAAAGCTTCAAGTTCCTTGGCGTACACATCACCGACAAACTGAAATGGTCCACCCACGCAGACAGTGTGGTTCACTTTAATAATGTTTACATATCTTGCACTACTCATCTCATATGTATATACTGTATCTTAGTCCATGCCGCTCTGTCATTGCATGTCCATATATGTATATATTCTTGAATTCCATTCCTTACTTAGATTTGTGTGTATTGGGTATATGTTGTGACATTTTTAGATATTACTTGTTAGATATTACTGCACTGTCTGAGCTAGAAGCACAAGCATTTCGCTACACCCGCAATAACATCTGCTGAACACGTGTATGTGACAAGTAAAATTTTATTTTATTTGATTTGATGTGTGAAATGCTTCATAATGTATGTGATATCAACAGAGAGGTATATTTTCTGGGTGATTTAAATATTGACTGGGTTTCATCAAGCTGCCCACTCAAGAAAAAGCTTCAAACTGTAACTAGTGCCTGCAACCTGGTTCAGGTTATCAGTCAACTTACCAGGGTAGTTATAAAGAGTACAGAAAGAAAATCATCAATTATCATGTATTGATCCCAACTTTACTAATGCTGCAGAAATTTGCTTTAAAGCAGTATCCAAATCCATCGGCTGTAGTGAACACAATATAGTAGCCATATCTAGGAAAACCAAATTTCCAAAAGCTGGGCCTAATACAGTGTATAAGAGGTCATACACTATGTTTTGTAGTGATTCCTATGTTGTTGATGTGAATAATATTTGTTGGTCTGTGGTGTGTAATGACGAGCAACCAGACGCTGCACTTGACACATTTATGAAATTGCTTATTCCAGTTACTAATAAGCATGTAAAAAACTGTTAGAGCCGCATGGATTGATGAGGGATCGAAAAATGTATGGTTGAGTGGGATGAGCCAAAAGTAATGGCAAATAAGTCTGGCTGCACAACCGATTGGCAAAGTACTGCAAATTGAGAAATCATGTGACTAAACTGAATAAAAAGGAGAAGAAACTAAACTATGAAACAAAAATAAATGACATAAAGAATGATAGTAAAAAGCTTTGGAGCACCTTAATTGAAATTTTGGGCAAAAAGGCAAACTCAGCTCTGTCATTCACTGAATCAGATTCATCACAAAACCCACTGATATTGCCAATTACTTTAATAAATGTTTTATTGGCAAGATTATTAAACTTAGGCATGACATGCCAGCAACAAATGCTGACACTACACATCCCAGTATAACTGATGAAATTATGAAAGACAAGCTTTATAATTTAGAATTACGTAAAGTGAGTGTGGAAGAAGTTAAACAATTATTATTGTCTATCAACAATGACAAGCCACCTGGGTCTGACAACTTGGATGGAAAATTACTGAGGATAATAGCAGACGATATTGCCACTCCTATTTGCCATATCTTCAATCTAAGCATACTAGAAAGTGTGTGCCCTCAGGTCTGGAGGGAAGCAAAAGTAATTCCGCTCAAATAGCTGACCAATCAGCCTGTTACCAACCCTTAGTAAACTTTTGGAAAAAATGGTGTTTGACCAGATACAGTGCTATTTTACTGTAAACAAATTGACAACAGACTTTCAGCACGCTTATAGGGAAGGACATTCAACAAGCTGAGAGAAATTGATAATAAAACGATACTGGGAGCTGTTTTGTTAGACTTCAGTGCGACCTTTGACATTATTGATCATAGTCTGCTGATGGAAAAACGTATGTGTTATTGCTTCACAACCCCTGCTATATTGTGGATAAAGAGTTACCTGTCTAACAGAACACAGAGGGTGTTCTTTAATGGAAGCCACTCCAACATAATCCAGGTAGAATCAGGAATTTCCCAGGGCAGCTGTCTAGGAACTGTACATTTTTCAATCTTTACTAATGACATGCCACTGGCCTTGAGTAAAGCTGGTGTGTCTATGTAAGCAAATTACTCAACACTATACACGTCAGCTACTACAGCGAGTGAAATCACTGCAACACTTAACAAAGGCTGCAGTTAGTTTCAGAATGGGTGGCAAGGAATAAGCTACTCCTAAATATTTCAAAAACTAAAAGCATTGTATTTGGGACAAATCATTCACTAAACCCTAAACCTCAACTAAATCTTGTAATGAATAATGTGGCAATTGAGCAAGTTGAGGTGACTAAACTGCTTGGAGTAACCCTGGATTGTAAATTGTCATGGTCAAAACATGTTAATACAGCAGTAGCTAAGATGGGGATAAGTCTGTCCATAATAAAGTGTTGCTCTGCCTTTTTAACAACACTATCAACAAGGCAGGTCCTACAGGCTTTAGTTTTGTCACACCTGGACTACTGTTCAGTCGTGTGGTCAGATGCCACAAAGAGGGACCTCGGAAAATTATAATTTGCTCAGAACAGGGCAGCACGGCTGGCCCTTAAATGTACACTGAGAGCTAACATTAATAATATGCATGTAAATCTCTCATGGCTCAAAGTGGAGGAGAGATTGACTTCATCACTACTTGTTTTTGTAAGAACTGTTGACAACAAAAAATAAAAATAAAAAAAAAATAAAAAATGCTGAATGCACCATGGTGTCTGTTTAAACTACTAGCACACAGCTCGGCTACCCATGCATACCCCACAAGGCATGCCACCAAAGGTCTCTTCACAATCCCCAAGTCAAGAACAGACTATGGGAGGCGCACAGTACTACATAGAGCCATGGCTACATGGAACTCTATTCCACATCAGGTAACTGATGCAAGCAGTAGAATCAGATTTAAAAAATAGATACAAAATAAACCTTATGGAACAGCGGGGACTGTGAAGAGACACACACACAGGCACAGACACACATGATAAGACACACACTCTACACACACGTACACATGGATGTTGTATTGTAAATATGTGATAATGGAGTAGTGGCCTGAGGGAACACACTCAATGTATTGGGGAAAGTGTTATGAAATGTAATGTCATGTAATATCTTAAACTATATATAACTGCCTTAATGTTGCTGGACCTCAGGAAGAGTAGCTGCTACCTTGGCAGGAACTAATGGGGATCCTTAATAAATACACATACAAATACAAAATAAAACCTCCTGGCTTTTATGAGAACCTATATAAACGATATGCTTATTTTGCATTTATTCTACAATGCATTACGTACTTATTGGTCATAGAAAGATTGTTGGTCATTGAGGAACTATAGTATCCTCATTTGAAAATATTACATGAAGCATCAAATAACAGTTTTATACAGGTCAATTGAATCTGGGGCACATTGTGTCCCAATGTTCAATCTTAACATTGAGCATGAGGTCCACAACGTGATTTGGAGCTTGATAATGTGCATATTACAGTTAACAAGCTCTGTTTAAACTGTGTTTTGTTGACTTGTCAGCAGACACCTGATAGGAATGAACATTCATTCCTAGTTAGTTGACTCCCATAAGGATTTATTCAGTGTGCTGTGTATACAATAGACAACAAATGTGTAGTATTGTCATCTTCTACAGTGCCTGAACAGAAAATAAAATATATCTTTACATATAACAGTAGTTACATTTCTGTAATGAGCTCTGTAGCGTGAGGTCCTCTCTCTGTCTCCTCTGTTACAACTCAAATGAAGCTTAGAGATGTTGCTCCGACAAAGCACCCAATGGAATTAGACGACACAGTGGTGTCATCATAACCTTCACCTCATTGGCTGCCTCGGTGAACAGATGTTATTTGAGGGTCTCTCCTCACCTTAGGCCTTGTTATTGAAGAGTACACTTACCAACCATGTGTATACTGTAGCAACCACAATGTTTACTTTCTTTGAAACTTTGCTCATTAGGTTAATGACTGCTTTGTTTACAGCAGAGTTGATAGGAAGGGTGCGGCACACATACTTCTCTCCTGGGTCCTTCTACCTCTCTACTTAGCACTGGTAATGGACCTCTAGGGAATGGCTGACCTCAAGAGCCTCAGGTTATTGTGTCAGCCATCTGTGAAAGAGTGGCAATATTTGACCAACTATAGTTGGGGTCAACTCAGCTGGAATGGCTTTGGTCACACTGTACTTTTTCTTTAGGTGGCCCAAATGTGTTGCATGAAATTCACATTTTGAGATGGCCAAAACTTTGTTCTGACTCAATGGGACAAGTTGGGGGAAAGTTTAATCAACTTAAAAGTATGTGTTAAGGAAATTCTTCATGAGACAAGTTGCTCACCTATGTATTCTTTTGTTGACAGATTGCGGTTTTAAATGATTTATTTAGTTTGAGACAAGTAAATAAATGTTGTACATATCAAATGAATGGACCAGACAGCTCTTTCAAATCTATCAACACTAACCATCAGAGTGACTATCATAAATCATGTTTTCTTTTGTCTGTTTCCAGCTATGGCTTCCTCCTGCATTCTCCTGTCTGAAGTGCAGTTCCAGTGTTCTACGGTATCTGTCTGGATGTGTTCACTGAGCCAGTGTCCATCCCATGTGGACACAACTACTGCAAGGCCTTTATCAAAGGATGTTGGGATAGCACTGACCTGTACCAGTGTCCAATGTGTAAAAAGACACTGGCGTCTTTCAAAAAACACAAGATCAGGAGAACTTGGAAGACAGCATGAGAGACCCCTGGAGCTGTTCTGTAGAAGAGACCAGACATGTGTGTGTCAGTTCTGCAGTGAGACAGACCACAAGACGCAACACTGTCCCTATAGAGGAAGAGTATGGGAAGAGGAAGGCTCAGATGAGGAAGACTAAGGGTAAAGTTCAGAAGATGATCCAGGAGAAACTTCAGAAGGTTAAGCAGATCGCACATGCAGTAGAACTCAGCAAGAGAGATGCAGAGAGAAAGATGGCAGACAGGGTGCAGATCTTCACTGCTCTGTTGTACTCCATTGAGAATAGCCAGGCTCAGCTCATTGTGGAGATTGAGAAGAAACTTAAAGCAGACGTAAAGGCGGGCTGAAGGTTGCATTGAAGAGCTGGAGCAGGATGTCACTGAGCCACAGAGTAGATGCAAATGTTGAGGACCCTCTACTCCTCCTCCAGAGCTCCCCCATCTATCTGCACCCTTCAAATGTTATTTGACACATGCTTCTTACAAAACAGGTGTAGACTATCAGTGAAATGGTTACTTACGGGGCCCTTCCCAGCAATGCAGAGAGAAACATCAAAAAAATAATAGGAAAAATAAATAATAACACAAGGAATAAATCCACAAGGAGTAATGATAACTTGGCTATATACTGTACACGGGGTGCCAGTACCGAGTCGATATGCAATTGGGTACGAGGCAATTGAGGTAGATACAGTGCCTTCGGAAAGTATTCCTACCCCTTGACTTTTTCCACATTTTGTTACTTTACAGCTTTATTCTAAAGTGGATTCAATTGTTTTTTCTCTCTCATTAATCTACACACAATACCCCACGATGACAAAGCAAAAACTGGTTTCTAGAAATGTTTGCAAAAAAAACAAAAAAACAACTGAAATTATTTGGAAGGGTACACACCTGTCTATATAAGGTCCCACAGTTGACAGTGCATGTCAGAGCAAAAACCAAGCCATGAGGTCGAAGGAATTGTCCGTATAGCTCCGAGACAGGATTTTGTTGAGGCACAGATCTGGGGAAGGGTACAAAAAAATGTCTGCAGCATTGTAGGTCCCCAAGAACACAGTGGCCTCCATCATTCTTAAATGGAAGAGGTTTGGAACCACCACGACTCTTCCTAGAGCTGTCCACCCGGCCAAACTGAGCAATCAGGGGAGAAGGACCTTGGTCAGGGAGGTGAATGGTCAATGGTCACTCTGACAGAGCTCCAGAATTCCTCTGTGGAATTTCTCTGCAGCACTCCACCAATCAGGCCTTTATGGTAGAGAGGCCAGACGGAAGCCACTCCTCAGTAAAAGGCACATGACAGCCCGCTTGGAGTTTGCCAAAAGGCACCTAAAGGACTCTCAGATCATGAGAAACAAGATTCTCTGGTCTCATGAAACCAATTTAAGTCTTTGGCCTGAATGCCAATTGTCACATCTGGAGGAAATCTGGCACCATCCCTACGGTGAAGCATGGTGGTGGCAGCATCATGCTGTGGGGATGTTTTTCAGCGGCAGGGATTGGGAGGCTAGTCAGGATCAAGGGAAAGACGAACGGAGCAAAGTACAGAGAGATCCTTGATGAAAACCTACTCCAGAGCACTCAGGACCTCAGACTGGGGCAAAGGTTCACCTTCTAACAGGACAACGACCCTAAGCACACAGCCAAGACAATGCAGGAGTGGCTTCGGGACAAGTCTCTGAATGTCCTTGAGTGGCCCAGTCAGAACCCGGACTCAAACCCGATCTAACATCTCTAGAGAGACCTGAAAATCGCTGTGCAGCGTCGCTCCCCATCCAACTTGACAGAGCTTGAGAGGATCTGCAGAGAAGAATGGGAGAAACTCCCCAAGTACAGGTGTGCCAAGCTTGTAGCGTCATACCCAAGAAGACTTGAGGCTGTAATCGCTGCCAAAGGTGCTTCAACAAAGTACTGAGTAAAGGGTCTGAATACTTATGTAAATGTAATATTAAAGTTTTTATTTATTTATACATTTGCACACAAAAAATAAAACCTGTCTTTGCTCTGTCATTATAGGGTATTGTGTGTAGATTGATGAGGGGAACAAAACAATTGAATCCATTTTAGAATAAGGCTGTAACATAACAAAATGTGGAAAAGGTCAAGGTGTCTAAATACTTTCCGAATGTACTGTATCCTTTTAGAATGTGGAGGCCAGGTCCCAAATCTACTCATTCACTGGCTGCACCTTCACTGAGATACTCTACCTAGTACTCTCTTCACCCTATGATTCTTCTAACACAGCTCCACACATCATTACATTTACATTTACATTTTAGTCATTTAGCAGACGCTCTTATCCAGAGCGACTTACAGTTAGAGAGTGCATACATTATTTAATTTTTTTATCTCTTCCATTAAGTATTTCTGAGTTTAGTGAACAGGGAATTCAGTAACACAGAAACAAAGAACATGCACAATATCAATGTGTATTTTATATTCTGAATAAGTTAGTATGTTATCAGTTGATTAGATTGTATAATTAAGCAATAAGGCCCTGGGGGGGGGGGGGGGGGGGGGGGGGGGTGCTATATGGCCAATATACCACGGCTAAGGGCTGTTTTTACGCACGACGCAACGCAGAGTGACTGGATACAGCCCTCAGCCGTGGTATATTGGCCATGTACCACAAACCCCCAAGGTGCCTTATTGCTATTATAAACTGGTTACCAATGTCATTAGAACAGCTCAAATATTTGAAGAACATCTTTCTGATGTCGAAACACTTTTTTTTCTATTTCGTGATTAATGACTTCTTATACAGACCTCTTAATCTTTGTCACACTTTCTTAAGAGTGTATCTGATTCTAAACACACACTAACACACAGCACAGAAAGGTAGAGTTTGAGTTATAGTGATATTGATAGTGACCAATCAGAAATCTGCCAGAGGATGCTCCTAAACCATTAACCATATTAACAGGTACAACAATCTCACTAACGGTGAGAACAAATCCACATACAGTACCTTCAGAAACATTTCTACATTTTGTTGTGTTACAGCCTGAATTTAAAATGTATTACTTTTTTTTATGTTACTGGCCTACACAGAATACCCCATAATGTCAAAGTGGAATTATGTTTAAGACATTTTGACAAATTAATTAAAAATAAAAAGCTTAAATGTCTTGAGTCAATAAGTATTCAACACCTTTGTTATGGCAAGTCTAAATAGGTTCAGGAGTAATAATACGCTTAACAAGTCACATAATAAGTTGCATAGACTCACTCCGTGTGCAATAATAGTGTTTAGCATGATTTTTGAATGACTACCTCATCTCTGTACCCCACAAAGACCAGGTAGATTTTCCAATGCCTCGCAAAGAAGTGCACCTATTGGTAGATGGGAAAAATATAAAAAAGCAGACATTGAATATCCCTTTGAGCATGCTGAAGTTATTGATTAGACCCTGGATGGTGTATCAATACACCCAGTCATTACAAAGATACAGGCGTCCTTCCTAACACAGTTGCCGGAGAGGAAGGAAACCACTCAGGGATTTCATCATGAGACCAATGGTAACTTTAAAACAGTTACAGAGTTTAACGGCTGTGACAGGAGAAAACTGAGGATGGATCAACAACATTGTAGTTACTCCACAATACTAACCTAATTGACAAGAAGGAAGCATGTACAGAGTAAAAATATTCCAAAACATGCATCCTGTTTGCAACAAGGCACTAAAGGAATACTGCAAGAAATGTTGGGCAAATCCAATACAACACATTACTGAGTACAACTCTTCATATTTTCAAGCATAGTGGTGGCTCCATCATGTTATGGGTATGCTAACGACTGGGACATTTTTCAGGATAAAAAAGAAACTAAATGGAGCTAAGCACAGGCAAAATCCTAGAGGAAAACCTGGTTCAGTGTGCTTTCCACCAGACATTGGGAGATTAATTCACCTTTCAGCAGGACAATAACCTAAAACACAAGGCCAAATCTACAATGGAGTTGCTTACCAAGAAGACAGTCAAAGTTCCTGAGTGACTGAGTTTTAGTTTTGACTTAAATCTACTTGAAAACCTATGGCAAGATCTGAAAATGGTTGTCTAGCAATGATCAACAACCAATTTAACAGAGCTTGAAGAATTTTTAAATGAATAATGGGCAAATTATGCACAATCCAATGTTGCACAAACTCACAGCTGTAATTGCTGCCAACGATGCTTCTACAAAGTAGTGACTCAGGGGTGTGAATACTTACTGTATGTAAATTAGATATTTCTGTATTTAATTTTCAATATATTTGCAAAAAATTCTAAAAACATGTTTTTACTTTGTCATTATGGGGTATTGTGTGTAGTTGGGTTAGAAAAAAATCAAGGTAATCCATTATGAATTCAGGCTGTAATACAACAACATCTGGATAAGGGGTATTAATACTTTCTGAAGGCACTATACATTGTTGCTACATCTGGTTTAATGCATTATACTTCAGCCTCTGAAATATATGTTTGTCACGGATTCAGCCGAGGCTGCTCCTCCTCCTTGCTCGGGCAGGCTTTGGCGTTCGTCGTCGCCGGAGTACTAGCTGCTACCGATCTATGTTTCCGTGTTCTACTTGTCTTGTCTTTATTGTTCACACCTGGTTCCCATTATGTATTGTTACTTCCCTATTTAACCCTCTGGATACCACTGTATTTTGTTCATGTTTGGTTGTCGTCTGGTGATCGGGTTTGTTTCCTCCCTGCGTGGAGGTTATGTTATTTATGTTACCTACGAGTAAAGTACGTTTTCGATTAGCTCTGTGTCCTGCGCCTGACTTCGTCCTACCGCATCACACTGACCGCCTGACAATTTTTTGGTTGTAAACCAGTCCCTGACAAGTAAATGTAATAAAATAAAGTAAAATACAACTTGCTGAAAGGCACACTGGGAAATACAGTGGGGAGAACAAGTGTTTGACACACTGCCGATTTTGCAGGTTTTCCTACTTACAAAGCATGTAGAGGTCTGTAATTTTTATCATAGGTACACTTCAACTGTGAGAGATGGAATCTAAAACAAAAATCCAGAAAATCACATTGTATGATTTTTAAGTAATTAATTTGCATTTTATTGCATGACATAAGTATTTGATACATCAGAAAAGCAGAACTTAATATTTGGTACAGAAACCTTTATTTGCAATTACAGAGATCATACGTTTCCTGTAGGTCTTGACCAGGTTTGCACAATCTGCAGCAGGGATTTTGGCCCACTCCTCCATACAGACCTTCTCCAGATCCTTCAGATTTCGGGGCTGTCGCTGGGCAATACGGACTTTCAGCTCCCTCCAAAGATGTTCTATTGGGTTCAGGTCTGGAGACTGGCTAGGCCACTCCAGGACCTTGAGATGCTTCTTACGGAGCCACTCCTTAGTTGCCCTGGCTTTGTGTTTCGGGTCGTTGTCATGCTGGAAGACCCAGCCACGACCCATCTTCAATGCTCTTACTGAGGGAAGGAGGTTGTTGGCCAAGATCTCGCGATACATGGCCCCATCCATCCTCCCCTCAATACGGTGCAGTCGTCCTGTCCCCTTTGCAGAAAAGTATCCCCAAAGAATGATGTTTCCACCTCCATGCTTCACGGTTGGGATGTTGTTCTTGGGGTTGTACTCATCCTTCTTCTTCCTCCAAACACGGCGAGTGGAGTTTAGACCAAAAAGCTATTTTTTTGTCTCATCAGACCACATGACCTTCTCCCATTCCTCCTCTGGATCATCCAGATGGTCATTGGCAAACTTCAGACGGGCCTGGACATGCGCTGGCTTGAGCAGGGGGACCTTGCGTGCGCTGCAGGATTTTAATCCATGACGGCGTAGTGTGTTACTAATGGTTTTCTTTGAGACTGTGGTCCCAGCTCTTTTCAGGTCATTGACCTGGTCCTGCCATGTAGTTCTGGGCTGATACCTCACCTTCCTCATGATCATTGATGCCCCACAAGGTGAGATCTTGCATGGAGCCCCAGACCGAGGGTGATTGACCGTCATCTTGAACTTCTTCCATTTTCTAAAAATTGCGCCAACAGTTGTTGCCTTCTCACCAAGCTGCTTGCCTATTGTCCTGTAGCCCATCCCAGCCTTGTGCAGGTCTACAATTTTATCCCTGATGTCCTTACACAGCTCTCTGGTCTTGGCCATTGTGGAGAGGTTGGAGTCTGTTTGATTGAGTGTGTGGACAGCTGTCTTTTATACAGGTAATGAGTTCAAACAGGTGCAGTTAATACCGGTAATGAGTGGAGAACAGGAGGGCTTCTTAAAGAAAAACGAACAGGTCTGTGAGAGCCGGTATTCTTACTGGTTGGTAGGTGATCAAATAATTATGTCATGCAATAAAATGCAAATTAATTACTTAAAAATCATACAATGTGATTTTCTGGATTTTTGTTTTAGATTCCGTCTCTCACAGTTGAAGTGTACCTATGATAAAAATTACAGACCTCTACATGCTTTGTAAGTAGGAAAACCTGCAAAATCGGCAGTGTATCAAATACTTGTTCTCCCCACTGTATGTTATGGAGAACATATCTATTTTAAGCCAACACAGTATTTGAAGTTGTGGGTCTCAGCCATCTAAACTGGTTGTTTGATCAATTTATAAATACATTTTACATTGAGCAAACTCGCTTCCAATGGTCAAGGATAGGGTATGGGTTTAGAAGACAGGTCAAGATAAGGCAGGGGTTAGGGTTTTGACATTTTCTTGCAAGGAGGCCAGAGCAAGAGTTACAAAAGGCAAATGGGAAGAGCTAAAGGCGCAGTTGGCGTTTATTGTCATGAATCTTTCCCTTGAGGCAAAACTAAGCGGTTTCCGCTAGATTATCCTTAGTTGTTGTTGTCATAATTAAACAGAGAGGCTAATGAGTGTAAACATTATAGTCAAAAGAGATCATTAGGCCCTGATATGATAAAATAAGATGCCGATAATTAAGTCCTCATCTATTAACAACATTACCTTTAATGAGTTGTTAATATATAAATATGTACTTGTTTTCTCACTTTAATTAAATCCAAATGAAAATTATATTCTTTACCACAACTCTTTATAATGGTGGATTTGTCTAATTGTCCTTCAGTTCACACACAGACTGCTTATAAAACGTTGTTAAAAGCAGAGGTACAATTGGTGTTTGGTGTTATCGATGTTGGTACAGTGGGTGTTCAGTATTATTGATGTTGGTACAGTGGGTGTTCAGTATTATTGATGTTGGTACAGTGGGTGTTCAGTATTATTGATGTTGGTACAGTGGGTGTTCAGTATTATCGATGTTGGTACAGTGGGTGTTCAGTATTATCGATGTTGGTACAGTGGGTGTTCAGTATTATCGATGTTGGTACAGTGGGTGTTCAGTATCATTGATGTTGGTACAGTGGGTGTTCAGTATTATTGATGTTGGTACAGTGGGTGTTCAGTATTATTGATGTTGGTACAGTGGGTGTTCAGTATTATTGTAAATTATCGTCAGGGAGGTATAAAATGACCAGGAAAGTTGTTTAGTTTGAGATGGTCTTGCCTTGGTCAATGTTTGGTTTACAACTTAATTTTGTATCTTCGGATAACTTATGGATTTTATATAAATTTTCCATTTCAGTAATCTGTATGTTTTCTCCTCCAGACACACAGAGGCTCAAATGGGTTTTTCTGTGCGCCTTTACAATGGAACGGAATCATCAGATGATGGATTCTACATCACAGCCTTCCACACAATGGGCAATAAGAACTACCTTATCCTAGCTCTATCTATAATATACATCATCACTCTAATGGGTAACTTTGATCTGTTAGCAGTCTTCATTATGAACCCAAGCCTTCAAAATCCAAAATATGTTGCAGTGTGCAATTTAGCCGTGGTGGACATCTCTTTGAACAGTGTTGTCATCCCCCAGATGGTGCCCGTGTTTGTGTTCAATCTTAACTACGTCTCCTTTGGGACGTGTTTATCTCAGATGTTCTTCATGCATTTATTTGGTGACATGGAGTCCTTCTCCCTTGCTCTCCTAGCGGATGACCGTGTGATAGCCATCTGTTTCCCTCTGCGTTACCTCACTATCAACACCAACCTGAGGATGCTGCTCATCCTGGTAGGGATCTGGACCCTGGCCTTCCTCCTGGAGGTCTACCCTGTCGCCCTGGCCTCTAGGCTGTCTTACTGTGCCTCCGGGGTGGTGCAGAGCTGCTGCTGTGAGCACGGCCCTGTACACAGACTGGCCTGCTCTGACATCTCTTTCAACAGGAAACTAGCGACAGCGAAAACTCTGGCTGTTCTTCATCATCTTCACCTGTGGTGGCGGTGATGAAGATCGCCTCGACCACCCAGCGGGGCAAAGCCTTCCACACCTGTCTCACCCACCTGCTGCTGGTCCTGGTGTACTACCTCCCTGTCATCGTGGCCTACGTCCTAGGTAAACACAGGGATGACTGTACACTTCAAAATCAAATCGAATGTATTCGTCACATTCACAGTTTACAGCAGGCATAAAAGGTTTAGTGAAATGCTCATGCGTTTATCACCACACCTTTTATCCCTGCTGTAAACTGCATGCTCCCTAAGTGTAGGTCAGGAATAAAGGAGGACTCTGACACATTTGCCCCAAGTGTGTATATATTGTACTGTAGAAACTGTCATTCAAAATAGCAGTCACACATTACATTTTAGTCATTTAGCAGACACTCTTATCCAGTGCGACTTACATGAGCAACTAGGGTTAAATGCCTTGCTCAAGTGCACATAAACAGATTTTTCAACTAGTCGGTTCGGGTATTCAAACCAGCAACCTTTCGGTTACTGGCCCAACACTCTTAACCACTAGGCACATCTGAGTTAACCCGTTGCAGGTGCGTGGGAATAATGCAATAAAGAAAAGGTAACAGACTCGGGAGCATACAGCATTTCGCAGTGCACAATTTCCTTCTTATTTTTGCAGAATATGATCATTTACTGTTAATATTATCAATCATCGTCTCAAAGCCACTGGATGTGTGTATGTTTGTCCCTTCCCTCCTAGGTAACCTGCGCGTGGTGCAGTCCTCAGACCTCCTCACTGTGTCTGTTACCCTGCCACCCATGCTCAACCCTATCATCCACAGCCTAAAGACAGAGGAACTGCGGGAGAAAAAAATTTGTAAAGACAAAAGTTACTCCTCACAAATGAGGAGAGTTGTTGATCTTATGTTTTCAGATCTTTAGTTTGGGTTCAATTCTGCAGCAAAAACTCAAGTCAAGATATAAGAAATGTTTCCAAGGCAACTTTCTCCTTTGTATATCCTTCATTTCAGCATTTTTCTGTTGATACTGTTTTATAAACACACTAACTCTTAAGATAATTGCAACAAAACTATTTCTGTCGATGCTTCTGTTGAACACAATATTTGCAGATAATAGATTTAACATACTTTATTGGGGTAAATACGATTAAATCTCTATTTCAGAGAGACATTTTTATGCCACAGCTGTAATTGTGGAGTGTTTATATATTATAATAACATCAATTATTGGATGGATTAATGTTGCAAACATCATAAAGCTACTGTATTAACAGAAAGGTACAGTACAACATGTTGAGGTAAAATCATTCTGATAACTGACAGTGTGATAACTGACAGCACAGGGCATGATAAGTGAGTACAGGTATCTGTCACATATAGTGATCATCACATACAATTATGGTATAAAGAGTAGAGTTTAAATGCAAAGTATCTAGATATACAGTATTTATGTTGAAAGAGTTCAACTCTAATTAAATTAAATAGCATACATTAATTAGTTCCACTAGATGGAACTAAAACACATTCACTGGCAGAGCCATAATGTAGGGCTCTGTTCACAGGTAAAATGGGTAACACTTTATAATACATTTCATGAATAAGGATTAATAAATTATTTATAAACCTGTAATAAATACATATTTGTAAACATGTGTAAGCATTCGTAAGCATGTATAAGCATTATAATCATTTTCGTAAGCATTTCTGTGAACAATTATGTATTTATTTTTAATATATTCAGTATAAGGTAACATACAAGCAGTTAATACAAGCAGTATGCAGGGGGAGAAACATCGAAATAAAAGAGAGACAACATGAGGAATAAATCTATTAAAGGATCTAAAAACACACAGAGTCACAGTTCTTCTATTCTGTGGTGAATAAACATAGCTATTACAAGGAGCAGTGTAGTTACACGTTTGGGACACAGCATAAGAGCAGGGCATAGAGCAGGGCATAGAGCAGGGCATAGAGCAGGGCATAGAGCAGGGCATAGAGCAGGGCATAGAACAGGGCATAGAACAGGGCATAGAACAGGGCATAGAACAGGGCATATTGGAAGGATCTTATTTAGAATTTTTCCTAAAACGTCAAAGACATGTTTCCAAAGAGATCCACAGTTAAACAGTGCCAAAACATTTGCAGAACGTTTCCTATTTCAGAACAAGATCATTTGTAACATTGATTATTATCTACAAGCTATATTTTAAATCTATGCTCAGGCGTGAAATAGGTCCAGCTGATGGGAAAGGGTTTTAGATGAAGAAGAAATGTTGTTCCATATCATTGGCCAGTCCGAATTGAGCCCAAGGTTCTCTAGGTCTCTTTCCCACTTCTTTGTGATAGGGAGGGTGTTGACATTATGTGAGGATAATTTATTATAAATTAAGGATACAAGCCCAGTTATTCTGGTAGACAAGATCAACTTTGCAATAAGGCGAGAGCCTGGAAAGGCATCCCATGGTACACCATACATTTTCAGAGCTGTACATCCAAAACATACATTATCATACATCAAAACATACATTATCATACATTATCATACATCCCAAACATACACTATCGCACATCCGAAACATACATTATCGTACATTATCATACATCCCAAACATACACTATCAGCCTCTGATTCACTTATTCGTTTTTGGTTACATAACATGCAACTCTGTTATGACAGTGATGAATGCTAACATGTACAATTACCAGTGAATAGCGTCACATATAAACATACCGTGTAGAGCACCAGTACCTGATCAATTTATTGGTATTATGCTAGAGGTGTTTTGTTTGACCATTTTCTTCAAAAACCCTTTGATTTCCTCAGTATTCAAAACATAAATGATTGGATTGAGCATGGGAGGGAGAGCCGAAGCAAGAGACAAACAGATGATCCTGGCGTTGGGGTGAAGAGAGTAGGTCACCGCAGCAATGTATGTGGATATATATGGAAGAAAGAAAAGTGCTACTATTAGAAGGTGTGATATACAAGTCTTCAGAGCCTTCAAACGGCCCTCCCAGGTAGTAATTCTAAACAGGGCAAGTAAAATACACACATAAGACAGGACTATGAAAACTAACGGTACATGAAGGAATAGTACTGTATTCACTTTTGCCATGATGGAATTGGCTGAATTGTCATTGCAGGCCATTCTGTACAAAGGCCCATGATCACAGAAATAACTGTCAATGACTATGGTTTTACAGTAAGACAGTCTAGTGATCAGCATCGTGGTTGTGCCAGTGATGACCACATCGACGACCCACATCCCTGTAATCATGACAGACATGGTGGTGTTAGTGAGCAGAGTGTGGTATCTCAGAGGCAAGCATATGGCAACAAACCTATCACATGCCAGAACAACAAGGGTTATAGACTGCAAAGCAATAAAGAAGAACACAAAAAACATATTGGCCAGACATGCTTCATAGGTGATGTATTGTGAATCAAAAAGAAAGGTCTTAATCAGGTTTGGAATTAGTGCACTGCTCTCACCTAAGTCAGCTACCGCTAAGTTTAAAATGGCAATGTACTTTGGGATGTGAAGACTGCGTTGAGTGAATATTATGAACATTACAATGGAGTTCCCACAAACAGCAACTATATAGGCAAAGCACAAGAACATATAGTAAAATTTGGCATGAGGAATATCATGGAAGCCATTGATGATGAAATATTGAGGACGCACAAAAGAGCTGTTTTGCTTGATGATGTTTATCATGGAGCTCATTGCAGCGCAGGTCATCAGGTATTGTTTGCATCAACCTGTAATTTAAAAATACATAAATTAAATAATTTCATTAAGAAGTACATTAGGCCTGCACTCATTTTATTAGTCATTTCACACACGTTGTAACCGTATAATAGAATGCAATGTTCATTAATTACTTAACTAAATTATAGTCTTGTTCTACGTCTAACATGTTGAGCTACAGGGGCCTTCTCAGATATATGATGTATTGTCTAAACCAGAGTAGGCTAAATATTACAAACTAGCCATTTGATCAAATCACAGTAAATGTTACTGATTCAAACTTACCAACAGATGGAGTCAGTGGCAAGAAATTGAGCCAAGCATTCACTGTAATTGCAGGTGAAGGTCTGTTGTTTGCAGGCGAGCCACTTAACTGTGGTTAAAAGTCTATGCCATGTGTCATTTTATATGTATGTGTCCTTTGCTGTAAATGTCTGTCATAGGATATTGAAAACACCCAGGAGAATGACGTAATCATAGTTGAACTGGCACTGGAGCTGTACAGCGTATCAACTAAAGCAAGGTTGCAAATCAGAAGGTACATTGGCTTGTGCAAACGAACAGGGATTACACAACTAAACTTAAGCCAACTCCCGTATCGCAAAAAATGCTCTCCGAAGCCAGGGAGGTTCCAACATCAGCAACCTTCAGAGGTCCCAAAACTAAGGGAGTATGCACAGAAAAAGGTGCAGAGACAACCCAATGGGAAAAACCTCAAAACAAAGTGAGGGGAAGCCCAAAACAAGAGCATACCATCTCAGTTTAATGAGATATGACCCAGAAAACAGTGCCCGAGAGGTCAACTCCTCTGTAGGAGAGGGCCCTTCCGGGCCCCTCCGAAGGCTATCACCCTCACCATTAAAAATTTATATAATGGTCCCTTTGATCCGGCAGGATATCGTCGAAAATAGAAGGAAGCTCTTCCGAGGGTGGTTGCCCAACGAGCGTAGAGCATGACACCCTTGCCCGAGCTATCCTACAATCCAAGTAGATGCTAACCACACGTACTGGACAACAATGAGGGAGCCTTTCTAGGGAAGGCGACAGACGAAAAGCCGTAGGCTCCAAGTTGTGACAATGGTAAAATGTCGACCAGGGCCAAAGATAGGGTTAGGTACATTAACCTGAAAAATGCTTTGGCAGACTGCGGGCGCGAACAGTGGCTAGTAGAACACAGTTCACACATACACTTAGGGACGCCAAGGGTAGTGGTAAAGCGAAAGAAGGAGGAATATTGCGTCTCCACACTTTTCAGCGGCTAATAGCTGTTGTGAAATGATTTTAAGCACAATAGACATGTCCCAGGACCCGCTAAAAGCTTAGTTACTGGGCGTAAGCGACGTGCCCCCCTTAGAGACTACACAACAGTTATTGTAGTGGGTGATTTTGGACGGAGTCAGGCGCAGGAGGGTAATTCACAGAATATAAGGTTTTTTCAGGAACACAGCGGTACGCAGCAATGCTGTCACGATCGTTGAGAGACGGGTCAGACCAAGGTGCAGCGTGAAAAGCGTACATGTTTATTTAACTCAATAAACATAAACAAAACAAGAAACAACGTAACGTGAAGTCCCCAGGCTATACACATACAAGCCTAACACGGAACAAGATTCCACAACTAAGGTAGGCAAACAGGCTACTTAAGTATGATCCCCAATCAGAGACAACGAGCGACAGCTGTCTCTGATTGGGAATCACACCCGGCCAAACATAGACACACAACCTAGAACTGCAACATAGAAAATATAACATAGAAACTCACGCCCTGACCAAACCAACTAAAGACAACAGGCCTCTAACGGCCAGGGCGTGACAAATGCGTAAAACACTGCAGTGTGGTAAATACGGCGCACTGGAGAAAAGCAAGGCACACGGGTGAATATCCCGGCGATACAAAATACAAAGTAGCTCCACCAAGCTAAAGTCACCTCCACAATAGCTAATCACACACAAAGACTGTCATGAATCCCGCTTCCTGAGTCTGTTTCTGCCTGTGTTGCCTGTTTTCTGTCCTGGAGTCTGTTTCCTGAGGTTCCTGAACGCACCCTGTCTGGTTGCCGGGCGACGAAGCTAGGCAGGATATCTCTCTATTACCCGCACCTGCATCTCATCAGCTATCTGCACACCTGGTCCTGATCATCACCTCTCCACTTCATAAGCTCTGACCTGA